GGCAAGGGGGAGACAACGTGGAACCATGTGAATGTTAGCTATTCCAGAATAAGCATGACCCAGACTGGGCAACATAGCAAGACCCCATCTCTACAGAAAAATGTAAAACCATTAGCTGGGCATGGTGGTGTACATCTGTAGTCCCAGCTACTGAGGAGGCTGAGTCAGGAGGACCACTTGAGCCTGGGAGGTCGAGGCTGCAGTGAGCCATGATTGTGCCACTTTAGCCTGGGTGACAGAGTGAAACCCTGTCTAAAAAATAATAATAATAATAATAAGAAGAAGAAGAAGAAGAAGAAAAAGCGCAACCCATGCCTAAAATATGAAATGAGGCCAGGCGCAGTGACTCACACCTGTAATTCCAGCACTTTGGGAGGCTGAGGCAGGCGGATCACCTGAGGTCAGGAGTTCAAGACCAGCTTAGCTAACATAGTGAAATTCCCGTCTCTACTAAAAATGCAAAAATTAGCTGGGCGTGGTGGGGGACACCTGTAATCTCAGCTAGTCAGGAGGCTGAAGCAGGAGAATTGCTTGAACCCAGGAGGCGGAGGTTGCCGTGAGTGGAGATTGTACTCCAGCCTACTGGGGAAGAGAGCAAGACTCTGTCTCAAAAAAAAAGACATGAAGTGAACACAATTTTAAAGTAAGTTATGTAAGTTCCTTGTGCCAGAGCAGGAGTTCCTATTTCTTTGCTCTGTGGGCTCGGCTGAGATGGGTAGCAGCTGGTGACCCTAGCTTGATGTATTCATTCCACCAACATTTGCGGTGCCCCACCCCCCCCGTGACACAGCTGTAAGCAAGGAGCTCATCGTCATCACCTGGGGTTGGGATGCAGGTTCCTGGACCACGCCCCAGACCTTGTGGGCCCAGGAATTTGCAACGTTAACAAGCACCCTTGATAATTTTTGGAACCACCAGAGGGTTAAGAACCATCTAGTCTGGGCCGGGCGCTGTGGCTCACGCCTGTAATCCCAGCAATTTGGAGGTCGAGATCAGGCTGCGCAAGGTGGTGAAACCCGGCCTCAACAAAAAATACAAAAATCAGTCGGACATGGTGGTATGTACCTGTAGTCCCAGCTACTCAGGAGGCTGAGGTGGGAGGATTGCTGGAGTCAGGGAGGTGGAGGCTGTAGTGAGCTGTGATTGCGCCACTGCACTCTAGCCTGGGTGATAGAGACAAAACCAAACCACCCGTCCGGCACTTTGCCAAGCTCCTTTGTCAATTTCCAGGAGACACAACCCTAGAACTGAGACCCCAGAGCCTGGACATGCTGCCACACACTGCCATCCTGAACACTTCCATCAACTGCTCCCAGTTGCCCTCTGCAGGTATTTGACCTGACAGCTTCCAGCTGAGTCCTCCCGCACCTTGGCCAAGTTGAGCACTCCAAGACATCGGCTTCCCGGAGCCTCTCCGCTTCCCAGCTGGAGGCCAGAGATGCCTCAGACTCCCCAAGCCTGAGGGTCTGCAGGCACGAGCTGCTTGATAAATTGGTGATGAAGGGGTTCTGATGCCACCTGCTCCCCAGACTCTCAGCCACCAGGAAGCCCTGATAGAGAAAATCAGTGGCACCTGGGTAGCTGCTGACCCCTCCCCCTCTTAACAAGGGGGTGGGTTGCTCAGGCCTGGACTGCATAACTGGGGGAGGGCTGGGTGAGCCCTGGGGCGTCTGAGGCTGCTGTGCCAAGTGAGGGCTTCAGTGCAGGCCTGAAGGTCAGCGTGGAGGGCCAAGCCATGATGTCCTTCCAGAATATCATCCGCCTGTCCCTGGACAGTCCTGCCCATGCGGTTTGTGTGATGGGCACAGAAATCTGCTTGGATCTCAGCGGGTGAGGTGCTGGGAGGCCTGCCAGGGCTGGCAGGGCAGAGGCAGACAGGCCTGAGACCCAGTCCCCTTGCCCACGGAGTTGGGGCTTACTTCCCTAGCCTTACCATCCTGCCCATCTTGGGAAGCCTTGGGTCTCTAGGGGGGCCTTCCATTTCCGACCACTGCAGGATTCTGACTTAAATCCTGCCTCTGCTCTGTAGCGGCTGCCATGGACTCTTAGGGAGGCAAGTGCCTTGGCCTCTCTGTCCCGTTATCTGTGAAACCGTGGGGAGGCTGGCCTCGGGAGGCTGTGAGGAGTAGGCCAGGGAGATTGTTAGATGCGGGAGCCTGGGTGGAGGTGACTCACAGCAGGGTCACAATACCACCTCCTGAGTCCCACACCCTGTTCTTTTTCCTTATGGGGATTCTTTGTGGCTCAAATGAATGTCTCCTCCCTTCTTGGGAGTTGGGGGCTTATCGCTAAGATGTAGCTGCGGTAACTTCTACAGTGTTGGTGGTTGGGGGGCGGTTTGGGCTGGGGCTTGTCACAGAACAAACCCAGGGGTCCTTTGTGTGGGGGCGTAGGAATAAAGACCTCAGACCATTCTGACTGCAGACCTCTGCCTCAGCACGCTGAGGAGAATGAGGTTTTGGGAGCCGTCCTCCTTCTCCCATGCTGGTCATCTCCTACTCTGAGAAGGTGAGTCTTTGTGCCCTGAAGTGTCTCTTTCATCTGGCAACCCAGGTGTGCCCCTGAGAAGTGCCAGTGCTTCACCATCCGTGGCTCTGGGAGGGTCATGATCGACGTGGCCAACACAGTGATTTCTGAGAAGGAGAGCGCCACTATCTGGTGGCCCCTGTCTGATGCCACCTACGCCACAGTGAAGATGATCTCGCCCAGTCCTTCCATGGATGGGGACAAGGTAAACCTCGGGGGAAGAGGCGAGGGGCATCTCCCAGGGGTGGGACGTAACATAGCCACTGGGGCTCCCTCCTGGCTGCAGATGTGACTTGGGCCTGTGAAACACGCGTTGTTTTGCATGTCTGATCTTATTCAGTGTCTGCAGCAGACCTGTGGGGTAGGCACTCTGTGACCCCATTTTACAGACAAATGGAGGCACTGGCCGGGCGTGGTGGCTCACGCCTGTAATCTCAGCACTTTGGGAGGCCAAGGCAGGAGGATCATGAGGTCAGGAGTTCAAGACCAGCCTGGATAATATGGTGAAAACCTGTCTTTACTAAAAATACAAAAACTAGCCAGGTGTGGTGGCATGCACCCGTAGTCCCAGCTACTGAGGATGCTGAGCAGGAGAAGGGCTTCAACCTGTGAGGTGGAGGTTGCAGTGAGCCAAGATTGCACCAGTGTTCTCCAGCCTGTACAACAGAGCGAGACTCCATCTCAAAAATATAAAAGAAATGGAGGTATCTCGTGAAGGTGCCCTGCTAAGGCAGCAACCAGCAGAACTGGGATTCCAGCTGGGAGAGCTCATCTCGGCCATCCGAGCCCCTGATGGTGATGCTGGGTTGGCTTCCGACCTAACCGCGCCACAGTCTGGCTTCAGGGTGCTAGCAGCATAATTCAGATGGGCTTTTTGCTGAAGACAGCTCTTCTGGATATGGAGCCTCTAAAGAGATTTAATAGCTAAAGTGTCCTAAATGCATGCTACATGCTAGAGAGCTTGGATCATGTTTTGGGGTGTTGGCCTCGACCATTGCTTTACTACTTTTTGAGAAAACCTCACTCTTGTCGCCCAGCTGCTGCCTCCCAGGTTTAAGCAATTCTTCTGCCTTAGCCTCCTGAGTAGCTGGAACTACAGGTGCCCATCACCATGCCCAGCTAATTTCATATTTTAGTAGAGATGGGGTTTCACCATGTTGGCCAGGCTGGTCTTAAACTCCTGACCTCAAGTGATCTACCCACCTCCACCTCCCAAGGTGCTGGGATTACAAGCATAAGCCACCACACCTGGCCTACCGTCACTTTACATAAGAGGAAACTGAGGCGGAGTGCTGTATCTAAACCTAAACAGCCTGCCTAGAGGAGGGTAGACCCAGGATTTGAGCTTGAGCCCAAGCGTGCGCTCTCCCCTGGGTAAGCTGTCTCCCCAACGGGGTGCCTGCAGTGGGGAGGTCCCCCTCCACCTTAGACACAAGGGGGCAGCAGTGGTCTCCCGTGGTAGAAGCAGGTGGCTCGTTCAGGGAAGGGGTGCTCAACCCTGGTTGCAGGTGAGAATCACTGTTGACTTGATAACCTCAATACCCAGGCCACACCACCTACCAATTAAAACCTCTGGACTAGGACCCTGGTTTAAAGCTCTCCAGGTGCCTCCAGTGTGGAGCTAGGGGTGAGAACCGTGATGGAGCAGTTCAGCACTAGTGGAGCAGAGCTCCCCCTCCTCCCCCCCCCCCCCCCCCCCCGCCACAGGACCCACTGGAGATGCCTGCTGCGGAGGCATAGGTGCACACACCCGCCTGCCGTGTGTGTCTAGGGCAGGCAGTTCCCCAAGAGGCAAGTAGTACATTTAGATAAGAACTGAGCCTCTCAGGCTGGGTGTCCTTCTTAGCAGCTTATGCCCCCAGAGGCCTGTTTCCCCACTGTCTACCTTATGGAGTAGCCAATGGGACCCTGGGCAGGTGAGTTCAGGGAGGATGTGTGGTGTAGTTTCAGGCTTGGGGTCTAGAACCAGGTGGCCTGGATCTTAAATCCCTTTGAGTGGTGTGGGCTAAGTCCCTTGATCCCTCTGCCATCAGGGATACAGTTGTCGCCTGGACAAGTGGCTGCAAGCCTGGCTCCCAACAAGGCTGAGGTTGGGCGTCCTGGCAGATTCTAGGTCCTCAGGGTACTGACTGTCAGCCCCAAGCACAGAGCCATGGCCCCTGTAGAGAGACTTCAGAAGCTGTAATAGGGAACCAAGGTCACCCGCCTAGACTAGGCACATGGCCTAGGGCTCTGCTCCTGGCCCCTGCCCTCCAACGCTGCTGTGGGTTCAGGACGCTGTCTCCACAGGTCTCGGTCAAGTACTATGGGCTCAACGAGGATGCACCTGTGGGCAAGGCTGTGCTGTATCTCACTGGCATTGGTGAGTGTGGTTCCCACCAGGAGCCTTGGGGAAAGGGTGGTGTTGGTTGGAAGAGGGTGGGAGGGGGGGCTTGCAAGAGGAGCCGAAAAGGATTCTCCTGGTATCAAGATGCCTCCCGTGGGCCCCAGGAATTCCTGAACTAACTCCTAAATGGATTCATTCGGGATACCCACTCCCTCCCTCCCATGCTCACTTGCTTCTCCATCTTCATGCACTGCCAACCTAATTCTGAGAATGGAAACAGCCAGAACTTCCGTGTTGCTGCATTTACCCACCTACGCCTGTCTAGTGCCTACGTTCTGCCTCTTTGTTACAACTGATGTCTGGTCCAAAGTTAATCTTTCCTGTCTGACTAGATCTTTTCTTGTTCAAGAACATTTCTTTGGCAATTCTTACCGATGTAAGAAGCTGACATCCTTCCCCCTTGCCAGATCACCCCCATCAGCTCAGGAACAAACCGTAACCTCTTTTTTTTTTCCTGTGTGTGTATGTGTGAGATGGAGTCTTACTCTGTCACCCAGACTGGAGTGCAATGGCACGATCTTGGCTCACTGCAACCTCTGCCTCCCAGGTTCAAGCAATTCTCCTGCCTCAGCCTCCTGAGTAGCTGGGATTACAGGCATATGCCACCATGCCTGGCTAATTTTTCATATTTTTAGTAAAGACGGAGTTTCACCATGTTGTCTGGGCTGGTCTCAAACTCCTGACCTCGTGATCCACCTGCCTCAGCCTCCCAAAGTGCTGGGATTACAGGCGTGAGCCACCAGGCCTGGCCATAACATCCACTCTTAAACCCGATTCTAGGTGGTCTTTAAAATCCACTTTCCCACCTCTGTTCCTGGAGAGCCATCTGTGTCCTCAGTTTCTCTAGAATCTATTCAGATTAGGTACCTGCCAACAATGGAGCTCTTCAGAACGCTAACATCTGTAACACTAAGTTTGTTTTGTTTCATTTTGTTGAGACAGGGTCCCACTCTGTCACCTAGAGACACAATCATGGCTCATTGCAGCCTCAAATAATCCCCCCACCTCAGCCTCCCCAGTAGCTGGGACCATAGGTGTGTACCACTATACGTGGTGGGTTCTTGGTTTTGGTTTTCTGTTGGGTTTTTTTTTTGTTTTTTTTTAGATAGAGTTTTGCTCTTTTTGCCCAGGCTGGAGTGCAATGATACAATCTCGTCTCACTGCAGTCTCTACCTCTTGGGTTCAAGCAGTTCTCCTGTCTGTCTCCCAAGTAGCTGGGATTACAGGAACCCGCCACCATCCCCAGCTCATTTTTGTATTTAGTAGAGACCGGGTTTCACTGTGTTGGCCAGGCTGGTCTCGAACTTGTGATCCACCCACCTGGGCCTTCTGATGTGCTGGGATTACAGGTGTGAGCCACTTTGCCCGGCCCATACCTGGTCTTTAATCTTTTACACAGACATAGGTTTCCCTGTGTTGCCTCAGCTCTCCCCACCTCAGTCTCCAGAGTAGCTGGGACTCCAGGCACATATCACCATGCCCAGCTGATTATTTATTTATTTTTTCCCATAGAGGGGGAGTTTCACCATACTGCCCAGCCTGGTCTCAAACTCCTGGCCTCAAGTGATCCTCCTGCCTTAGCCTCTCAAAGTGCTGGGTTCCAGGCGTGAGCCGTACACCTGCCGGTCACCCCTCCACACACTTCAATGCTTCAGGGATGCTCAAGTTAGTTTTCCTCCTGCCTGTTGCTTCTCTGAATCCTCTGGAGCTCAGAGGGACTCTTCGCAGTCCTTTGTCCCCCTGCTTCCAGTCAGTGAAATATCTTGGGCCCACGGGGCTGGTCAGGTGGCTCCAATGTCCCCTATAGGCAGGCTGTTCCCACAGACCTGACTCGGATATGCCTACCCAGTATGATCTTTTGGGTGTCTGACAGATGCCTGAAACTCAAAGGATTCTCTACCCTGGAAAACCTATTTTTCTTTTTCTTTTTTTCTTTTTTTCTTTTGAGATGGAGTTATGCTCTTGTTGCCCAGGCTGGAGTGCAATGGCACAATCTTGGCTCATGGCAGCCTCCACCTCCCAGGTTCAAGTGATTATCTTTCTTCAACCTCCCGAGTAGCTGGGATTACAGGCATGTGCCACCACGCCTGGCTAATCTTGTATTTTTAGTAGAGATGGGGTTTCTCCAGAAACTCCATTTTTCTAGTAGTTCCTCCATCACAGTGGGGGACAGCTCCGTCCTTCTAGCGTTCAAGGCCAGTAACCTCGGCATCACCTGATTCTTCTTACCCCACAGCAGTCTGTGAATACCGTGAGCATTACCTGATGTTTAGCCAGAATCCAGTGACTTGCACGTCCAATGCCTTCACCCTGGCTCGGGCCTCCCAGTGGGGTTCACTGCCAGCACCCTTGCCCTTCTGTAGGTCTAGTCTTGATCCAGCAGCCAGAGTGGCACATCTTTAAGTGGAATATCGGATAACACCTTCCAACTGCTTCCACTTTGCTGAGATTAAAGCCAGAGTCGCTGCCCATGAAACTATGAGTAACTCTATGCTACCTGACTTTACCACCTGCAGATCTCTACCCTCCCCCATCCTGCTCATTCTGCTCTGGGCACTGTTGGCTACTCTAAGCTTTGACCTTGCCACGTTGTACTTCCTATTCCCCCAAATGGCTTTTACTCTAGATATTAACCCAGATCTTGTCTCCTTCAGTTCTCTTTTCAAATGTCCGCATAAGCTTCCTTCATTGAAAACTGAAACAGCTCCACTCCGATCCCTCTCCCGTTTCCCTCAGCACTTACGACCATCAAACATGATGTATCTGCCTGCCCCGCCCCTGCTGCACACATGCGTGCTAATGTAAGGTCTAAGGAGACAAGCTCTCTGTCTTGTACACTGCTAGATTTCTAGGACCTGGGGCAGCCTGGTTTGCAGTGGGCATCTCCTCCCTGAGCATCTGCGGGCCAGATGCTGATGACATAGCAGCAAACAAGTCCTGTACTCGTGGCCCTGACATTCCAGTTGGGAATTGGCATGTCAAATAACAAGAACAAAAGACCATGCTAGAGCCACGTGGTTGTCTGTTGCATGGTAGAAAGGTTGGGAGAGGCTGTATGCTAAGGCGAGGGGCAGTCCCTATGACAATACCTGGGCAAAAGCATAGATCCTTAAGTGTTTTTTTGTATTGTTTTGTTTTGCCGAGATGGAGTCTCACTCTGTCACCCAGGCTGGAGTGCAGTGGGGTGATCTCTGCTCACTGCAATCTCTGCCTCTTGGGTTCAAGTGATTCTTCTGCCTGAGCCTCCTGAGTAGTTGGAAATACAGGCGCCTGCCACCACACCTGGCTAATTTCTGTATTTTTGGTAGAGACAGGGTTTTGCCATGTTGATCAGGCTGGCCTCGAACTCCTGAACTGGGGTATGATTTCAGCTCGCTGCAACCTCCACCTCACAAGCTCAAGCGATTCTCCTGCCTCAGTCTCCTGAGTGGCTGGGACTGCAGGCACTTTCTACCATTCCCAGATAATTTTTGTGTGTTTAGTAGAGATGGAGTTTTGCTGTGTTGCTCAGGCTGGTCTCAAACTCCTGACCTCAAGTGATCATTCCACCTCGTCCTCCCAAACTGCTGGGATTACAGGAGCAAGCCACTGTGCCCGGCCACATTAAGCCTTTCCTGTGTCTTAGAGCATAGAGCTTTCTGGAAGGCTAGGGAGGTAGGTTTTGCAAGTAAGAATCACTTGTGTAGAGGCTGAAAGCCATGAGATAGCCTGAGAACCATGATGAACTTGTTTTGTGAGTTCCAGGGAGTTTTGGGGTGTACATGTGACTACTTGGGCCTCTCAGGGCTTGGTGAAGCTGCCAACTTTGAGGATGGGTTTTGCTTCTAAACTGATGGAATGTCAGAAAGGTTGATGGCCTGATGCTAGCCTTGGGCAGCCCCACAGAATGTAACCTGTAACTTTGAGGCTCCCTCTGGCACGGGTAGGTGGCTGGGACACTCTTCTCTTCTGTTTCAGAGGTCTCCCTAGAGGCAGACATCTACCGCAATGGGCAAGTTGAGGTGTCAAGAGACAAACAGGCTAAGGTGAGTCTTCCAGCGGAACGGGGCCTCGTAAGCCGGATCGGCCCGCAGGCTCGCTTGATCTGACCTTCCTAGTGTCTAGTCCAATTGCTGTAATGTTGCTAATGGATTAGGTATGGGGAAAGAAAAACCAAGCTCTGTCACCCAGGCTGAAGTGCAGTGGCATGCTCGTGGCTTACTGCAACCTCTGCCTCCCGAGTTCAAGCAATTCTCCTGCCTCAGCCTCCCCAGTAGCTGGGGTTACAAGCGTGCACCACCATACCGGCTAATTTTTGTATTTTCAGTAGAAAGAGTCTCACCATGTTGGCCAGGCTGGTCTCGACCTCCTGACCTCCAGTGATCCGCCTGCCTCGGCCTTCCAAAGTACTGATATCAAAACTGACTAAATTTCTAGCTCACTAAAAAAAAAAACTAGTATGTCTGGCAACTCTAGACGCATGTCCTACCCTGGTTGTGGAGTCTCCTAGATGAGAGGATTAGCTGCCACTTTAGGTGACACATCTGTCTTCCAGGCTGCCTCAGTCCCTGATTCTGTGAACCTGAAAGGAGGTAGGTAACTGGTAACCCTGAGCCTGGCTTCTTTAGCATCCTTACCTGATGTTACCTTCCTGTTCCTACAGATACTTGACCTCACTGGTCCTGTTCCCTAGGTCCCTATGGCCCTGGAGAAAGGCTCGGCTGGCCTTTCTGCTGTAAGGTGGCATCCGAGAAGCAGAGGATGTACTTGGCTCCTTCCTATCTCATTTGCAGAAAAAATGGACCTGGGGTCCCAGTGGTTGGGGCGCCATCCTGCTTGTGAATTGCAACCTTGCTGATGCAGGCCAGCAACTTGAGGACAAGACCAACAGAGTGATCTTCTCAGAGGGTAGGACCTCAGACTGTCTCCAACTTTCCTTCTTGGTCTTGGCCTTTCCTGCTCTACTTCTCAGCAAAACATAGATTTCAGACTAATTTTCTCTGCCGCCCACACCCTCTCCCCCGTCCCCACGCCAGGGCTGACCAAATCCTTTGTCCTGGGTTGGAGTTGTGTAACTGGGAAGAGAAGTCACATGGCCCCATGCAAAGAGCATGGGTGGTTACAAACTGTTATTTCCTAGCTATGAACTTGAGCGCACTTGCTTCCCTAATCTTGTTTCCCTATTTAAAATGGGGATGGTACAGTTGGCTGCCCAACTGTATCAGTCGGTTGACAGTTGGTTGACAAGGCTAAATGAAGACAATGGGGATATATGCACCGCTTTCTAAAACGCCTCTCATAGCCTGGACCAGGAACCTTTGACTGTCTTGGGTAAAAGTCATCTTGGATTGGGTCCTGACTTGTGGTTGGGACCTCGGTTCTGGGTCTTAGCAGTAGAATGGAATGTCTTGGTTAGAGGTGAACCCTCACTGAACTGACCCTGAGGCAGGACCTGTGTTTGTGGGGACCAGGGGATCAATGCCATCCTCACTCAAAAGGAGGCCCTGCGGTTTGCAGTTTGCCTGTGGCCACCTAGAACAAGCAGTGAAGTGCAGTGCTTCAGGCCTGGGCCCTAGCAAAAGGCAGGGAGTCCTTGGTACTCTGTTCAAGCTCCCCGCCCCTCTCTACTGCCCCTCCCTCCACCCCCAGAGCACTGGCCTCCAGGCATTCCCCAACCTTGGCTTTGTCTTTTGCCCAGAAATAAAGAATCTGTCTCAGATGACACTGAAGGTCCAAGGCCCCAGCTGCCTCTTAAAGAAATATCGGCTGGTCCTCCACACCTCCGAGGAAGAGTCGAAGAAGGCGAGAGTCTACTGGCCCCGAAGTGAGTGTTCTTGTGCCAGCGCCAGCTTTGCCTTGTTCTCAACGTGCCAGGGCAAGTTGTGCCCACACCTCCTCCCACCAAGGTCCCTGGCAGAAGCCTGCTGGAGACCTAGAGCTGCAGATAAGGGGCTGTCGTGGCTGCCCTTGGGTTTCTAGGATTCTCTGGCTGCCACCTTCGCCATAGGCTAAGTCTGTACACATGGGTGAGTTATTGCACCTCTAAGCCACTTTCTCCTCTTGTAAAATGGGGGTAGCTGTGCCCTCCCGGCAGGCTGGAAGAGAAGAGGCAAATGAGCCGAAACAGAGGCTATTGTCTTACGCAGATTAGATCACATCTCCCAATGACCCCTCTCAGGAGAATCTACCTTCATTCTTGTTTTTTTGTTTGTTTGTTTTTTTTGAGACAGTCTCCCTCTATCACCAGGCTGGAGTGCAGTGGTGCAATCTCGGCTCACTACAACCTCTGCCTCCCAGGTTCAAGTGAGGCTTCTGCCTCAGCCTCCTGAGTAGCTGGGATTACAGACACATGCCACCATGCCCAGCTAATTTTTTGTATTTTTAGTAGTCAGGGTTTTCTCCATGTTAGCCAGGATGGTCTCGATCTCCTGACCTTGTGATCCATCTGCCTCAGCCTCCCAAAGTGCTGGGATTACAGGCGTGAGCCACTGCACCCGGCTCATCTTTACTCTTAACCAAGACCCACTATCTTAAATTTCCGGAAATTCGAGGCCCAAAGCTAGAGCAGCGGCCATCATAGCACCTACATCCCAGTCACCGGCCACCCATCTTCAGCCCTCTGGCTGGGAGGCAGGCAGCATGCTCTATTCTACAGATGGAGGGCTGGTTAGGAGGGAGACCTGTCCAACTCCAGCAAAGCAGCTTTGTGCAAGTCTTGACTTCCCTGAACTAGCTCAGTACTTAGTGCCTCTGAATCTGAGAGAGCTCTGCTTCTGGAGGGACACGCCAGCATGCTTTTTTGTTTTTCCTTAGAGAGGGTCTCGCTCTGTCGCCCAGGTTGGAGTGTGGTGGTGTGATCACAGTTCACTGTAAACTCAACGTCCTGGGCTTAAACTGTCTTTCCACCTCAGCCTCCCAAGTAGCTTGGATGACAGGTGTGTGCCGCCACACCTGGCTCATCCATTTTTTTGTAGAGACGGGGTCTCACTTTGTCCAGACTGGTTTCAAACTCCTGGACGCAAAAAGTCCTCCTGCCTTGGCCTCCCAAAGTGCTGGGATGATGGGTGTGAGCTGTTGCACCTGGCCCAGCCTGCTACCTTCTCTTCCAAACCATGCTTACCTTCAGCTGGGCAATGGGGGGAGCCTGTGGTCTATACTGTGCTTGTTCTCAGAGGGCACCATCTCTGTTGCCAGCATTGGAGAGCGAGCCCCTGCCACTTCCTGGCCTTCACTCTGGGGCCTTAGTTCAGTCTCCTCCTCCATCTCTTCAGCCCACAGGTCACAGCTGGATTTCAACGTAGCCTGGGATTAACCAGAAAAGGCAGCCCAGCTTGGACGTGGTCATCTTACATGTGGGCTGGAGCGAGCCAAAGAAACCCAGGGGTCTAGGTCCAGTTCAGGCCACAAGAGCTCCTCTAGCCCTGCAAGGCCTACCAATGCTAAAGTAGGCGGGCTCGGCCAGGCAGGCCTTGGAGTCTGCCAGTTCATGTGTCATGCTAGGGACGCCATACTCAATCATGCAGATCATAGCAAGCCACCGGTTTCTTTATTGAAAAAGCTTATTCAAAAATCTAGGGACCAGGCGCCATAGCTCACACCTGTAATCCCAGCACTTTGGGAGGCCAACACAGGCAGATCATTTGGGGTCAGGAGTTCGAGACCATCCCGGCCAACATGGTGAAACCCCATCTCTACTAAAAAAATACAAAAATTAGCCGGGTACAGTGGCATGTGCCTGTAATCCCAGCTACTCTGGAGGCCAAGGCAGGAGAATCACTTGAACTCGGGAGGCGGAGGTTGCAAGGTTTGTAGTGAGCCAAGATTGCTGCATTCCAGCCTGGGCGACAGAGCAAGACTCGGTCTCAAAAAGAAAAACAAAAAACTTATTCAACAATCTAGGGTAGGGCAACATGACATGTTTTTCTTTTTTTTT